GTGTGCAACTATACAAAAAATTCACGGTTCGGTTCGATACTTTAGTCTCACGGTTCGATATTTTTTCGATACAAAAAAGAGAAATTTCCATGCCCCTTTTAACTTGTAATTTATTTATATTAATTATGAACATTTGTTTAACCTCAAAAGTACAGTTTTTAACTTCTCAGTGGATCTGTGCTCAAAAATGCAGCCTAGGTGGAGTAGTCGAACACAGATCCACTGATCCTTCAACACAGAGCATCTTCAGAAGACAAGTTGATAAAATAAATTTTTAAAATCTGTATTGTTCCATCCAGCACTGTTCGATAAGGGTACATGTTTTGTTGCACCCCTAGTATTTATGTGTGTGTGCTTGACAACTTGTGCCGTTAACAGAGTATGGGAWTCAAAGTTTACTTAAATTATGTCATTTTATCATCCCAAGTCAGTATGTTTATTTTCTACAAATAGAAAAGGAGGGGACTCCCTAATCTAGTTTGTATATGTTGGTGGAGCTGTAGATTTCCAAATTAGCAGTTGACCTGTTGTGATAAGCAAATAAATAAATGAATCGGATAAAAAAACAATACATAAATTCTGTAAACTTCATAAGCAGCGTGAGGATGACCACAAATATTTTATGAAGCCAGGATTGGATAGAGGTTCAAAAGCTGTTGTGTTTGTTATTTTCACAAACTCTGCTCCCAGTCTCTCMGTAACTTTACCTAAATTTCATAAACTTCCACAAATTTCATTAACTTCTGCAAGKTTTYWWAGCAGGGGGRTCATTRGTTTAAAAAGGTCTCSAAACAATATTATRGTTTATCGCAATAATTTCTGAGAAAATTTATCATCYAGCAAAATTAGTTATCGTGACAGGCCTAATTAGCTGTATTAGCCTCCAGCTAGCAGAGTTGTGCATGCTATTAAGTCATTTAAAGTAGAAAAGGGAGAGTGTGTATGTGGAGTGGGCCGGACCCCAAAACAAGGCAGGTAAATAATTAGGAGCAATAGTAGGGATGGGTACCGAATTCAATACTTTTTTATGCACAGACCGAATTCTGTCGGTACTACCGAGTATCTATTCACATAACATCAAACGGTACCATGTTTTTGTACCTAAAAGCATCATTGCGACCGGTTTGGCATAAGAGTGGTGAATTTTCCCTGCTTGTCCTGAACGCAGCATCACGCAAAAGCGTAATGACGYCAACAGCAGCCGCTGTGTTCAGTAAACAGAGGCAGAGCTCGGTCTGAACGTAGCCTGAAAGCCTCGCAGCTCCTGGAGTAAAACTCACCGAACAGATCGCCTCTGAATTATCTGGTGGATTAATTATATTGTGAACACGACGTTCGCTTGCTCAAAGTAAATAAAGTACCGCCACTTTCTTTATTTCATCCACCATTAAACAGAGACCAGCAGAGGAAAACAACAGAGGTTCTTCCCGACGGTCCGAACACGTCTGACCTAAAGAGCACAAGCAGCCAACTTTAAGCGTTGGGCTCGTTTTGGATGCTTAAAATGTAGCTTGAATACCTTTTATTTATTTGAACTCCATCCTCTTTTGCTTATTTGATTTAAAACTTATTTGCCTTCCATGGACCTCCATCACACAATTTTTCTAGTGGGGAAATGACATCAGTAGAAACACGTGGAGCTGGATTTTAATTTGTGCAAAAAGACAAAACAGTCATGTTGTTTTCAACAGTTTTCACCTTAAAGAAATTAGTTTAAAAAACTGATGTTAGAACAAAAAGAGTTGGATGTTGTCTTGATATTTGTTAATTTTATATATTGAGGAATATGTTAAATAAAAAAATAAATAAAAAATAAAAGTTTATTATTGAAAAAACAACACAGAAAGTACCGAAAATTGGTACCGTTAAGTACCGAATCGATTCAAACGTCAAAGGTACCCAACCCTAAGCAATAGCCTTCAGAGTTAAATTAAACAACACTTGAAATGTTTCAGATTCTATTTGTCATTGGAGAGCTCCTCAACATGTGCTAATATGATGCAGCCCGTCGGTGTTAATCATCATGTAGTGAGCTTAATTGCATGAAACTGTGCTGCCTAGCACAGGCTGAAGATCTGTGTACGCTCTTTAATGTCACGATCAGTGCTGACTCAGATGCAGTTTTGGTTTCGACAGGGCTATCCCCTAAAAAAGCACCACAATTGTTTAGCTAGTACATTAAAATAATGAGAGTCTGCAGTGATCAGAAGTACCGTATTTTTCATACTATAAGCCGCGACTTTTTTCCTGAACTTTGAACCATGCGGCTTATAGTCCGGTGCGGCTTATACATGATTTTTTTTCTTCAGCCACCAGGGGGCTCTTATGCTCCATTTGCTTCAACCACTCAAAAAGAAAAAAAAAAGCGATCCTTCCAGAGCCGACTGTTGTACCA